AGCTGAGGGCACCTCAGATGACTGTGGGGTGCTCACCGGTAGCCCCCTCCCACACACACATTTTCCANCAATGATGACAAATAAAGCATCAGTTTAAACTGAGCTGAGAGCACCTCAGATGACTGTGGGGTGCTCACCGGTAGCCCCCTCCCACACACACATTTTCCAAGAAGTGAACTGTAACTGGCCACCAGGAGAGCAAAGGTCCAATCATATTATTATTCCCACATTCACATTATCAAGTGTCTTATCCGAGTGTTAATCTAACACTTAGTGAGCACATATACGCACCAAGTGCTGCACCAAGTGCCTTAACACCGCCAGCTCATCGAATCCTCACAGCGACTCTACGGGATAGCTGGAGTATGTGCAACTCAGAGGAGGAAACGGAGCCTCCGAGAAATGAATTAAATTACCTAGAGTCACACACTATTGACGAGGGCAGAATCCAATCCAGGCTTCTAGGCCCGTATAACTTAGGCCCGCTTTGCTTTTGTGCCCCTGCAAAGTTCAAGAGAATCAACCTCAGTCTTGGAAGATGGGAATATTGAAGAGGTGAGAATTGGGGTGGGAAAGGAATTCTAGCATTGAAACACATGTAGCCTTTTGTTTATAATGCTCATGGATTCCTTAGAAGAAAAAAATGGATTAATATCAAAACTTCTTTATCACATCTGCTGTTCCTCTTAAGGCTTTAGACTCCATCTACGTACGGATAGCTTCCCAATGTATACCTACAGCCTGGACTTTCCCTCCTGAACTCCAGACCCATATAAACGGTCTTCCTGCCGCGTGGATGTCTAATAGGCTTCTCAACCTTATGCCCCAAACTGCACTGCCGGTCTTTCCCCAAGCTCTTCTCTTCCAGTCTCCTGGATTTCAGATACTCAGGCCATAAACCTTGCAATCATTTTTAGCTTTTCTCGTTTCACCACCCACATCCAATCTATCAGGGAGTCCTGTTGGTTTTACCCTCAAAATTTAACCCAGAATTTACAGCTCACCACGTTCACTGCCGATGTATTCTCAGCAGTGTCAAGAACATACTAGTTGCTCGATAAATATTTGTGGAATGATCAATCCTTCAGAATCGAACCCAGAAAAGATCCATCTAACCCTGGGTGCGCACACTGCTTAACATTTTATTGTTCTGTTGGGGGTGGGGAATGTACTAATTTTTGTTTTCTGTATCCAAGTTAAAAGTTCTTGAGAATATGTTCTGAACATCCTTATGTTTCTTCCACAACCCATTATGAAGCAACTATCTATCAGAACCCTGCTAGATTCTATTTGTTTCCAAGACATACTGTATCATTCTTGGGAAAATGAGTGTCCTTTATTACTTCCTGATTAGGGCATATTTGTTCCTCCTGGATTATTTTGTCAAACAGCTACTTATCTCCAAGTTCTAGGATTCCAGATTACGTTAGATGATTCTATTGACTGACTCATGGACTTTGAGTTCATCTAATTCTCTTTCTAAACTAGAGTCTTAATCTCAGTTTATCTTGACAGAAAAATGCTTTTGCAATTTTAATCCCCTTAGTTGCTCCTATACAAATCTTTTCGAATTCATATGCTTTTCTGAGTTCTTGATACATGAAGTCTTTTTAAGTGTCGCCAATGTCCTTCTAGCTGCCTTTTTCCTAGTATTGTCCATATATATTTTGCTTTATTTCCCCCTGAGCAAGGGTTCTTTATCCAGGGTCCACAGAGGCCCAACGGCAGGTGTCAGGTTAGTCTGTTAGAGTGGACTGAAGTGATGTAATAAGTAAGCCTGAAATGTAAAGGCTCAATACAATGGTTTGTTTCTTGCTCAAGCAACAGCCTAGAGCCATTGCAGATTGGAAGAGGAGCTCTGTTTTATACTCTCGTTAAAGGACTCGGGCTAATTGTGGCTCTGGCACCTTAGGTCACCCATGGGCACAGTCATCTCAGTTAGGGACTGGGGTAAAGAGCAGGGAAGAGCATGCCCGGGAGGTTTCAGGAGCCAGGCCTGGCAGGATTGCACACATCACTTGGCTCAAATTTCATTGGGCAGCGGTTTTAGTCACATGCCCACACTTCACTGCAAGGGAGGCTGGGAAATGTAGTCTAGTTGAGCCCCCAGGAAGAAGGAGAGCAGAGATCTTGGTGCTCAGCTAGCATTTTCTTCCACAGGGGATGTGAGAAATGGGCACACACACAGAATATATTTTTTATTCAATCTGTTTCGTGTTATTTTGAAAATATAAGAAAAATTTCTTTATTGGTTCAAATGATAGGCTTGTGCTTTTATTTCACTTCATGCTTCAAAAGGAAGCGTGAGGTTATATGACGGGCCCCGCTGGGACATGTGACTATGAGGACTAGGGATTGGGGTCTGTTACCAAGGAAAGATGCCAGCACACATGGTCAAGCAAGGGACAAGCGTCATCATACGGTCACGCCATGCTATGACATCTGAAATACTTTCTTGATACTAAGAACTGGGTAAAACCTATTGCAAGGGACACTGCTGGGGCTCCATCCATATCTCAGAGGCCTAGCGCAGCCAGTACCCGCTGCCAGCACGTGTGTCTTTTTTATTAACTGCCTCCCCTGGTCTCTGAAGGCTGCTCTGCTCAGTACAGAGGCCCGGGCATTCCCGAGAATCGAAAACTTTGTTCCAGAAGTCCCTGTACCCTTGTTCCTTAGGGCAATGTATGTTTTAGGCTGGCTCCCGAACTTTCTCCACACGATCAAGTTCATTGTTTTTGCTTGATAAAACATCCTTCGTTGGCTCTCTCTCTTTCCCTGTCTCACTTCTCTGCTCTCCTACCCATGTGTCTTGGGATCATCCAATAAATTGCTTGCGTATCTATTGGGAACCCAAATTGAGACAGCGCCTCTCCCGCCCTGACTATTAAGCATAATGGTCAGTGTTGGTGCTTAGCACTGACTCTGCTGGAAACTGGCCAAGCAAAGCCAGGAGCCTCGAAGGAAGCTTTCTTGGACACTCTGGATTATGTCACACTGGGAGCCGAGTTGAGGAGGAGAGGAGGGCCCTCTCTTCCTGGGCAGAAAGGAAGGAGGAAACAAAAGTAACAATATTGCAGCGCTCAGCATCAGCAAGGAGAACATTTCCTCCCAGAGTCACTGAATTTATCACATTTAGCAGTATAAATAGACCCACTACGGTGATCCAATATAAATAGACTCGTGTTTCTATGACTGGGCCTTAGGAAAAAATAAGCCAACAACCTCCACCTCCACGTGGGGTACAAGAACGCGGTGAAGCTGAGTTAGCTAAGGGAGTGTGGTGGGGAAACAGTCTACTCATTTCTCCCAAACCCGCCCCACATGGACCAGTCAAGCAGGAGATGCAGCAACAGCATGCTCTTAAAAACCATACCGCCCAGCAAGCGTGGCTCGGTAGGTGAGCATCCACCCGCGAACCAAGAGGTCGGCGGTTCGATACCAGGTCCGGGCACATGTTTCGGGCTCGATCCCCACTATGGGGCACACAGGGGGCAGCCGATTGATGTTTTCATCTCTAATCCTCTCCCTTTCTCTCTAAAATCAGTAAAAACATATTAAAAAAACAACAACAACACAAAACAAGTCAAGAGAGGTGAACAACAATAAAGCATAATAAAGTCAAAACTTTAAGGCCGGTGAGTAATGGAGGGTTACAGCAACCATCAAACAGTTAAATCCTACTTTAGAGAAAGCAGCTCTCCCACTGGGTGAAAAAACAAAGTCTTTCCGGCGTTTGCTGACGATCCGCTTGAAAAGTACATCATTCTTTACAAGCTGAAAATAATGGGGAGGGCAAAACTAGAACCAAAGGATGCACAATAAATTAAGAAAAGGAAAAGTAGAAAGGAAGCGAGGGGGCGCCCTCAATACAGCAGCAGTGTCCTCAATTCCTCAAGACTGAGGACCCTGGAAAACATGTGCACCTTCCAAACATCCAAGCCACTGTCCCTGTCACTTCTGTGCTGGGGCTCCGAGGGGCCCGCTGCAGGCCTCTGGGTCTGGGGACCTCTCTCCTCAGCGCCCCCTGCAGGCCCCGGCCGGCTCCGCAGGCACCGCTGCTGCGGGGCTGTCACGTCTCATCAGAGCTAAGGCCTGAGCGGAGCGACCACCTGTCAGCCAGGCCAACCAGGCCGGAAGAAGCCTGGATGTTGTGATATGTCATTTATCTTCAAATTAATTGCTGAATTTTACGTAATTCCCACAAAACGTCAAATAAATTTCATTTTAGGGAAATGACAATGTTTTTCTAAAGTTCATATAGAAGAATAAATACGTGAGACTTTTCCTAAATAGTTTTACTTTGTAGCCAGTGACGATTTGATGTAAAGGTATGCTTTTCTCTCTAATAGCAGCTAGAATACATAAAGCCCATTGTAGGGCCCACCCTGAGCACCTGCAGTCAGTCCCCAGCGGCTTCAACGACGCACCTGCTGCCCAGACAGATCCTCTCCGACGGCCCAAACCCCCAGTCCCCACGTCCCAACTCCTGCTTCCGGGCTTCAGCCAATAGGAACCAAAACGGCTCAGCCAATCAGCACCCTGAGCTTCTTCCGGCGTGCTGCTTGCTGCCCTGGAGACAGGATGGGCGAATCCAAGCCTGGAGGGGTGCTAAGCCCACGAAGCGGGACGCTGACGCCTAGAGCCGCGCCTCCCTCCAGCACTTCCTTCCCCAATCCAGAGTCGGTGGACTCGTCCAAAGGCTGGGCGCGAGGCCCTTAGAGTTGAGGGAGGTGCCCTAGCAGCCTCACTTCCAGGCCCCAGCCAATAGGAACCGAAACTGTCCAGCCAATCAGAACCCTGCGCTCTTTCTGGCGTTCTGCGTGCTGCCGTGGAGACGGGGTGGGCGAATCCAAACACTGAGGGGCGCTGCACCCGCCCGGCCCCGCGCTGCTTCTGCGCGTCCCGCTTTTCTTCCTTGATTCGCCCCCAGCCTTTGGCCAGTGGACCGGTCCTGGGGCGGGGGGGGCAGGCGTCCGAGAGGCGCGCGCTTGAGGGAGCCGAGAGGTGGCCCGGTGTCGTCTCCCCAACCAGCGACCAGGTGAGGGGCAGCTTCGGGGGCGCGAGTCTGGGTTCGCAGCGCCCCCCGTCCCCGCGATGGAGTCTGCGGGTCTGCGGGGGCGCTGCCCGCCCGCGCCCTCTCCTTCCCTCTCCCGCCGTCCCTCGGCCCGTAGTCGGACCCAGCTCGCAGCCGCGCTGAATGCGGTCCGCGGAGCGCGGAGGAGGGCTCCCGCCGAGTGCCTCGCAGAGCGGGGCCCTGGCCTGCGGCTCGCCGAGTTGAGCGTGCGCCCCGAGGGCGGGTTTCAACAGATTGCTGGGCCCCATCCCAGAGGTTCAGTAGGTCTGGGACGGGGGACCAGAATTTGTATCTCTGTCGAGTTCCTAGGTGTGGCTGAAGCATGTAACCCTCCTATTTTAATCATGAAGCGTGTAACCCTCGTTTTTAATCTGTCATCCCTGTTCTATGTCCCTGAACAAAACAGTTACAAGCTAGTGCCGGGAAATAGCCAACCGTAAGGGTTAAACGAAGCTTGTTTCGGCTTCTGTGCGTGGCTTGGCGAGGCCCGCACCCCTCTCCGTGCCAGCCGGGTGCAGTTCTGCCTTTATAGTCTCCCTGCGAGGACTGTTCGGGGCTGCCAGTCTGTTTGGGGCATGAGCCCCCCGTAGCCGCCGGGGAAATAAATTCCAAACGCTCAATTTGGTCTCTGTGAATTAATCTAGCGAAAACTGGGTGTGACGTTGCGGGTGCTGCTGGAGCGGGAGTTGAAGAGCTGAAGGTGGGGATGACTGAGGGGAGGCTCCAGCCTGTACCTGTGCCCCTGGCACCTGGTCTGTTTCAGGTTTTGTTGACTGTGTCCCCTGTCCCCTGGATCTTAAATGCCCCATTTGCCTGTATGTGTGATGGGCTCTGGCTTCTGGCTTTTCCGATGATATCTAAGGTGAACTTGTAGGTTAAAAGAGTTTTCAAAGATGCACCACGTTTTTAGAAAATGTCAAGACTAGACTGCCTGGGATTACACACTTGGGTCTGAAAACGATGAAGAAACTCAAGGAAATAACTGTGAAAGTCAGGAGAGCGATTACTTTTGGGGAGGAGTTGTGATTACTTACCATAGGCTCAGGGAGGGATTTCTGGGGTGGCCTGCAAAGTGCTATTCTTGACCTGGGTGGTGATTACAGCAGTGTAAGTCTTATAATAATTAAACGATGCATTGCTTTTGTGGCTTTTTCTGTACTTGTGTTTTATTTTACAATTTAGGTTACGCATTTAAAAAAAATTCACGTTGGAAAGTCTGAGGTGAGGACTGCCCTTAGATTGAATCAAAAAGAATCTTAAAGTCATGGAATTTCAAAGGTATCAAGATACGTTGGCTGAAATGGCATTCATTGCCTGATTTTTGTTTCATGTTGGAAACAGCTGTCATTTTCATTATTTTTGTTCAGATCTTTAGGAAGTTGAATATTGTTTGTGGATTGTTTCCTTTATTTATTTTTCCCTTAGTTTTTTCATCCTACGAAAAGGAAGACACTGGTGTCCAACACTTAACTTGTAGGCGAACCTTACGAATTTATAGAATTACTCAGTTTATNCTACGAAAGGAAGACACTGGTGTCCAACACTTAACTTGTAGGCGAGCCTTACGAATTTATAGAATTACTCAGTTTATTTACATATTAAATATCCTAGGATGATTAATCATGCAACTTGCTTGCATTTATGTGTGTCATTTTTGTTTTCGTTTTAGGAGCTGGAGATGCTGTTAGGTTGTCCTTTTACTGAGTGTGAGAAGTTTGCCCAGAGATGGAGAACTTCATTCTGTATGAGGAGATTGGCAGAGGAAGCAAGACGGTCGTCTATAAAGGGCGACGGAAGGGAACAATAAATTTTGTAGCTATTCTTTGCACTGATAAATCCAAAAGGCCTGAAATAACGAACTGGGTAAGTCAAGTATGTTTCCCTCCCTCTGGCAAAAGACAGAGCTATGATTGGATAGAATAAGTAGTGTGTAAACAGAAGCCATTGAACCACTCTAGCAAGTGCCACATTCTCAATCTGGACTGGGTGACCTTCTGTCTGTTTAGTGCTGCCAATCCTGAATAATGACTGATAAATATACCCAAGTCATTGACAACTTAGAGTTTTGTTTGTTTTTAATCCTCACTTGAGGATATTTTTTCCATTGCTTTTCAGAGAGAATGGAAGGGGGGTGGCGGAAGAGAGAAACATCCATATTTGGGTGACACATTGATTGGTGCCTCCCGCACATTCCCCTGGGCTGATGCTCGAACCACTGAGCCAAACTGGGTAGGGCGAGTTTTACTTGTTTTGGTAAGAGTCAGGGAAAATACAGTCTAAATGAGTTCATTTAGTTTTAACTTTAGTATATGATTATGAAGCTTTCCAAAGGAAGGACTTTGGGCCAGGGTAACACCTAACTTTTTCCCCCTCAACTTTTTTGTTTATTGTGGTAAAATACACATAACACAAAATTTATCATCTTAACCATTTTTTTTCCTCTTTTGTTAATTCTCACCCGAGTATATTTTTTCCATTGATTTTTAGAGAGACTGAAAGGGAGGGAGGAGAGAGAGAGAGAGAGAAACATCACATTGATGTGAGAGAGACACATTGATTGGCTGCCTCCTGCATACACCCTGATAGGGGCCGGGGATCGAACCTGCAACCCAGGTTCATGCCCTTGACCAGGAATCGGATTCTTGACCCTTTGGTGCACTGGCTGATGCTCTAACCATTGAGTCACACCTGCCAGGGCTACAATAACTTTTTTAATGTATACCTTTTGGCCACTTTCCTATGAATAATATTTCTTTTGCAATATTATATATTTATCCAAATACACAAAACTATATTGCACACGTTTAAAAAAAAAAAAATCGTTGTTAAGATTGTACACTAACTTAGCATATTTCCGTGTGACCAGCCGTCATAACCATTGTTTTGATGTCCATAAAGAATTCCATCCAATGACATCCACTATTTTCTTATTTATTTCCCTATTGTGTATTTAGGTGGGTTTTTTACTAGGTGCAAGGGTTTTAAGAACTTTTTTTAGTGTGACTGTTGTGTGTTTTTTTAGGTCCGTCTCACCCATGAAATCAAACACCAGAATATTGTAACTTTTCACGAATGGTACGAAACCAGCAATCACCTCTGGCTGGTGGTGGAACTCTGCACAGGTGAGCCATGTCATGTGGTTTTGAAAAAACGTAGCATGTAGGTTTTGTTCTTCTTTTGCAAATATGTGTTGATACTATTGACTATGCTACCTTGAAAATCTATTATTCGATGGATATTAGGGAGGGGTAAAGAGCCAAGATGTTTGATAAGAGGAAGATTTATGTAAAATTCAATTTGGGGTTAACTCTACTTTGGTATAAAATATTACTAAACCACCTGCATAAAAATTTAGAAATATTTTTAGTGGTAATTAATTTATCAAACAACTTTTTCCATTAAATAAAAACAGTATTTTAGGTCAGGTAGCTATTAATTAGCTTATTGCTTTATAGAGTGATTTTTGTGTGAACAGAATATTTGCTTTTTATAAAAACTTAAACAATGTGGAAAGATACAAAGATGAGTCAATAAGTCCCACCACCAAGGATAATTAGAGATCACATGCTATAGCTCTTGCTTGATACAACTTTCTAGTACTGTGTACAGGGAGAGAGGTAACTAACTACGCAGATATTATCTGGGTTTTTAGTTTCAGTGTCTTCAGGGAATAAATGTAACAGGTGTCATGGTTAGTACACCTGTTTATACACTGAGTAAAATAGAGAATCGCTAAATATTAAGGTACACTCTATTTCTAGCTGTATGAGTCTTACCTGTTTTATTGACACTTAGAATTTGTAAAACTGAATCATAGAATAATGTTTTCATTTCATTCTTTTTTCTTTTTTTAAAAATATGTTTTTTATTGATTTCAGAGAGAGAAAGGGAGAGGGAGAGAGAGAGATAGAAACATCAATGATGAGAGTCATTGATCGGCTGCCTTCTGCACGCCCCCGACTGGGGATTGAGCGGGAAACCTGGGCATGTGCCCTGACCCGGAATAGAACTGTCACCTTCTGGATCCTAGGTTGATGCTCAACCATTGAGCCACACCAGCCGGGCTCATTTCGTTTTCTGAGTCAGTAGGGTACTGTGGTCTAATGACTTCCACAGATGTGCACACTGTTGAGGTCGTCAGGGGACTTTCTCTGTGTTACTTTTCTGCTTCAGCTGCTGTTTCTGACCCCTGACCAGTGCAATAACCTACCTTTAATTTATGCCTCTGCAGTGGTTCCTCACCCACAAAGACAAAATGAAGAAAACCCCAATACCTCCTGCCTTCTCAAAGTAATTCTGAGTGAGCTCTCAGATGCCAGCTAAGACTTCACTTTCTCTGAACTTGGCTCTTGTTTTAATCTTGATCCTTAAAAACAAAACGTTTGTTTCTGGCATTTAGGTGGTAGAGATGTGACTGGGACCTTGGAAAGATATAGAAATAGAGTTCCCCACGTGCGTGCCTGTGGCCCCTTATTTACTCCATCAGTGGTATGCACTAAGGCTTTTATTTTCTCATGGTTAAGGAAAGGCACTGTCTTTTTTGCTATGTAGGACTCTGCAGGATGTGACCTAACTTTGCATAGAAGCAAATGTGACTATACTAGGCATCGTGATTTAAATGCACTGTTTGTTTCCCGCACAGTTTTGCAGCTGTCCATTTCCTGAGTGAGCTGGAGCGAGAAAGCACAGCACCGGGGTGATTCTTGTTTCATCCCACCCACTTACTCGCTGCCAGCCTTCCAGGCTGAGCAGGCAGTCTCCTGGTCCGGCCTGGAGCAAGGACACAGGTTTCCCATAGGGCGCTTGTCCCTTGTGCTCACTTGCAGGTGTGTTTCCTCTGCAACACAGGCTGCAGAGGAAACACACTGCCTAGGGCTCCTGGTCTGATCACTTTTTTCAAGCTCAGTGTCTCCCAGCATGAAACCTGCTGGAGGCACTGTGTAATGTTGGGCGGTTAAAATTGGTAATTTTAATCAACTTGCAGGTGGTTCCTTAGAAATGGTCATTGCTCAAGATGAAAACCTCCCAGAAGATGTTGTGAGAGAATTTGGGATTGACCTGATTACTGGATTACATCATCTTCATCAACTTGGCATTCTCTTTTGTGACCTTTCTCCTGGGAAGGTAAATCATGAAGGTTTTCATTTCCTACCTGCTTGTGTCTCAGTTTACAATGCTTTTTCAAAGGCCTGTGTATCTTAGATACAATTTTAGGAATAAAACATCTTGAAATTTTAAGTTCACCTTTTTTTTTAAATAAAAGGAAACTATTTTAGCTACCTATGTAGCTACCTATTGAAGTCCTCTGGAATGCAGCGTTTCCCTCCTTTCAGCTCTGAGAGTGATTATTGCTGAGGGGGGGTGAGTGATGAGGTCAATAGCTCTATAAAGTCAGACTCTTCATTCTTACACTGCATGGCTACGGGCCGTTATCTTAGTGCAATAAGGGCATTTTTTAGTATTTATGTATGATTCCTGATATGATGGATCAAATATTTTGTTTTTTGTTAAATTAGTTATCTGTAACTAAATGTGCATCAGTATAGTTGTTGTGAAACCTGCTTAGCTGCTTAGTTATGGTTGACGCTGACATTTAGGCGCCGTGTGCCCTGGACAAGTTACCCGCAGTCCCCCCACCTTAGTTTCTTGTCTCTGATATGGAGATAGGTGTTTCGGGGTGAGTGTAAGGACTACATATTATATTTAGGAGAAGCCTCTGGGACACTTTCTGGCACACAGAGTGCCCTCAATCAGGCACCAGTGACTATCTTTACAAGCCGCACTCTTGGGGGTTATATTTATTACTTCTCCGAGTTGCCCCTGTCCCTTTGTTAATGTGCACACAATGAACCAAAAAGTTGAATATTTCCTTGTTAAACGTTATTATAAGCCACCTGAGTGAGAACATAATTAAACCTAAAAAACACTCCATAAAAACTCCTAGCAACAAATAAAAACTCTTGCTTGAACTATTTATGCACTTGCCCAAAATCTGCGGCCAGCTGACTGGCTCCAGCCCTGAGAGCAGCCGCAGGCAGCACGTAAATGCACAGGTGTGGTTTGTTTCAGTAAAACTTGACTCACGGAACGTTAAAATTTGAATTTCATATAATTTTCGCATGTCAAGACATACTATCTTATTGTGGTTCTTTCAACCATTTAGAAATGTAAAACCACTGTGAGCTTGCTCCTGTGCAGAAACAGGTACTGGTTGGGATTTGGCCCCGAGGCTGGGAGTTGTGTAATGAGGCCTTGCATCAGCCGCTTATAATCTAGGAAACTCAGGCTGACTTGTGATGCCTCCAACTGGGGTTGGCAGAGTTCGGGCAGGATGCCCACTCCTGTAAGTGAAGTTTTAGGAACACAGCCACACCCTTTCGTTTCTGTATTGTTGGTGGTTGCAGAGTTGAACATTTGGGACAAAGACCTCATGGCTGGCAAAGTCTGAAAGTTTTATCAGTTTAAAAAAAAAATTTGCTGATCCCCTCCCACTGATTCTCAAAGTGTGTTCCTTGGACCAGCCACATTAGTGTTACCTGGCACTCACTGGAAATGCTGGTTCTTGGACCCACCCCAGACCTGTTGAATCAGAAACTCTGGGGAGGGACTAGTAGTTCTTCTAACAAGTCCTCCAGGGGATTCTGGTGCTCAGAAGGGTTTAAAAGTCACTGGGGACTTTCAACAGACATCCTTATATTTGTGATTAGAAGTTAAGGGCAAACTTTAAATTGCTTTTTAAAACAAAAAGCGAGCTGACTCATTGCAACTTCCCATAAGTATTTTCAATGACTCTGGAGAAAAAAATTAAAAGTAATAGAACACAGGTTCCTGGCATGGTCTCAATGATCAACAGATAAACTCCAATCACAAATTCTATTGGCAGACTTGAGTACTTAGCACATGCCAGTCACTAGTCAAAGCCCTTTGTACGTATAACCTCAGCTATTCCTTACAAGGTCTGCAGAGTTAAGTAATTTTTCTCATTTTATAGGTGAGGAGAGAGATTTAGAAAGGTTCAGTAAATTCTCTGGGTTAGATTGTCTAAGTGGTGGGCCTGTAGCTCATGCTTAGATCTCTAACTTCAAAACCTTAGTCTTACCCATACATTATATAAACAACACCTCTGGCAGGTGGGTTTCAAATCTTTCTTCAGCTGTCACTGAGGATTAGAGAGTAGAGGTTGTTCCACATACATTGTCCTTAAAAGCCTGAGGTTTCCCTTTGTGGTTATAGGACGTGTTCATTATATACATCTGAGAATGGACAATTTAATATTTGATTCTGTTATTATTAAAATATTGGATTTGTTTTTCTTTAGCTTCTTTTTTGAAAAATGTAAGCATCTGACTTTCTGAGCTGTGACGAAGCAGGGAAGCCAGTGCTCCAGGCCCTTGAGTGAGGTAATGAGAGCGCTGATGGAGGTGCTCACGCGCTGGGTTCTGAACATGGTTACTCTCAATCTGTCTAGATACTCTTGGAAGGGCCTGGCACACTGAAGTTCAGTAATTTCTGCCTGGCAAAAGTGGAAGGTGACAATTTGGAAGAGTTCTTTGCTTTGATGGCAGCCCAAGAAGGAGGAGGCGATAGTGGGGAAAATGTACTGAAGAAAAACATGAAAAGTAGAGTCAAAGGTATGTGGAGAGTTTTAAGATCCTAACTCTAACTGGGGGCTGCCGAAGTCGTATTAGTGGATGATGTTGACCTTTTATTTTGCTAGTCAAATAATGTATGGAAAATAATAATGGCCAGGGGAAGTCTGGGTACAGGGACGGCTTTGTCGACGGCCTGACGCTTTCCACGTGGATCTAATACTGTGCAGGCCACGGGAACCCCTCACAGTCTGTATCTTAGCTTTATATGTCACTGACCACATAGGGAGCAGGGGCTTTGTCTCACTTCTTGCGTGTCATCAGCACTTAGAACAGTCACATGCTAGTGACTCAGTAGTTATTTGATCAACATTGTCGAGAGGCTGATATTTGCAATTAAGGACGATTTTTAGGGGTGCACTCTTGAGGGGTGGTTTTGACAGTGAGCCGGAGCCTGGGGTGTTAGCTGTACTTGAGCCAGTGTGTTGTCCCTGCCTTGGTGACTGAGGGAGCGTCTGTGGGATGGGGCCTCTGTCACCCCGGATCTTTGAGTGTCTGAACATCAGTCCCTTGGCTGACCTGGGCTGCACTGTGGGTTGAGTAATAAAGAAGCCTCTGTTGTTAAGCCTGGGGGAGCACAGGTGTTAATGCTGTGTAACTTAGCACACCCTATTCAAGATACTATAACCAAAGGTTGTTTTTTTTGACTATTTAAATTGTTAATTTAAAAAAGAATAAATATACTGAAATGTGCCACCCCTCTGACTTAGCTGGATTTTTGAAATGTGCTTATGTTTATACATATCTTTATAAAATGAAACCTTAAAATTAGAAAACATTAAAAAAACGTGAAATGCATGTTATATTGGAGTTATATTCACGTGTATATTCTCATGTTTTTTACTTCAGCAGGCCTCTTGAAGGTAGATCTGTGTTGAGTACAGTACAAATGCCTAACACAGTTACTGTTCATACTTTCTTTCTAGGATCGCTTAGCTACACAGCCCCAGAAATCGTGAAGGGCACTACTGACTTCTCTGTCGCCAGTGACCTCTGGTCCCTGGGCTGTCTGCTGTATGAAATGTTTTCAGGTGATTACTTGCTGGTTCATTTTAAAGTGAGAGTTGGACAGACGTGAAGGTTAAATCTGTAGTTTGCAAACATTTTACCTGTAAGATGGAAAAAAAGCTGGTTTTTCTAAATTTTTATCTGTACTGATTTTGGCTGGATTGCTTGGTATCTAGGCATGTGCAGATTCCTAGGGACTTTTTGACATATAGGTATTTTCCATGATAATCATCTTGGAATGTTGAAATGTGCCTAACTATTAAAGAGCTACAATTATTAGAAGTTCTCTTAAAGACACCTGTGACTGAATTATTCCCATATGTCTGGCATCCCATGCAAACCTTGGATCATGGTTGTGGTCCATATGTGAATTTGTATATTGGCTAGGATGACAGACTTTAAATTATAGAAATATAAAAATACATAGACCATGTGCCTGGAATATACTACACATTCATTAATTAATTATTGCTGTATATGCATTTGTGAATTGTGTAATCCTGAACTGTTTGCAGTTGGGATTTATTTTTAGTATTATTGGTGATGCCAAGCTTGTTTAATTGACAGGTTTTCATGTAATTTCAGGAAAACCTCCATTCTTCTCAGAAAGTGTTTCAGAATTAATCGAAAAGATTGTTTATAAAGATCCTCTGCCACCTATTCCAAAAGGTAGGATTTTTATTATAAATGCAGTTAATTTACACTTTACACTGACTGTGCTCTTATTATTGTCTATTTCATTGACTCCTAACCTCCCAGTTTATATTTTATAAGTAGTTCCTAATTGATATTTTTAGAAATGCTAGCATTCCCTTTGCTATATTTTTTTAGGTACTGAAATGAAAAACAAAGTACAATAGTTTCCCCCATTTAAAAACACAAATTATTTTGCACGCATATATCAAAAGATGTCTGGTTTACAGGTTTAGAAAAGTCAAGCTTTTATTCCTTTTCCGTGTATGTGCCTTTTACTTAATTTGGACTCACGTCCTTTGTAGTTATTTCTGGTTTGTGTCTGAGTAGTAATGAATCGCATTCTCAGCCCTGCCTCGGTGGATCAGAACGCCGCCCGACAAGCTGGAAAAGTCTTTTAAAGGAGATAGGCGTGTAGTATTCTAAGTGTTGGAATTTAATCACACAAGTTGTGATTAATATAACCATCTACCGTTACAATTTTAAGGAAAGAAAAGAAAAACAAAAGACATAAACACCGTAAAGTGCTTTGCGTGTACGCCACAAGAAAAGAGAATCTTAAGGCACATAAACAAAAACAGGACTTTACAAAAAGTAATGTTGGGAGTTTTTAAAAGAAAAATTTTCGGAAGTAATTAATGGAAGAACTAGGAATACAGGATATTTTCAATATTTCAAGAATCACCCTCAGTGTAAAAAACAACACTCTTGATATTTTGAAAATAGTCTATTTCTTAAAATGCTGCGTTTTCTTCTTTCATTAACTTTGTCTTAGTTGTAGAAGCCAGTCATTCCTATCTTTTATAAGATGACTTTTTAATACAGTATCGATTTTTGTTTTCCTATAAGTTAAAGATTTTTATGCAGGGAAGGAATCCGAAAAGATACCACTGGTGACCCACGCTTGCTTATGCCGCGGCCCCTCATCAGACAGCGCCGTCCGCTGTGGCTGCTTTGCCTTGGGGGCATTGGCCACTGTCTCCATGGCCGCTTTTCTCTAACCATTACTGATAATCGGGCCGTGGTACACACCTGTCTAATTTAAAAAGGCAAAACTTGGGAGTAAGAAAATTGGACAGTATCACAATATGGTGATGCTTACCATTCGCTGCTAAGGAGAAAGAGGGATTGCACGTGTTCTAGTCACAGCGCGTCATAAAGCCAAGCTGGTCAAATTAATGTCTCCGGAAGTGAGGCCTAATTACTAGCGGGAGCCAAGGGTATGAGTTTGTCAGGCTGCGAGTCCTTACTGGGGTTACGCGCAATAAAGTAACTTTAGGGGTCACTCAAAACTTGTTTCTTTGTAGTCTAGGAAAAAATGTTTAAAAAAAATTTTTTTGTGTGCCCCTCTCTCCCCTATTTAAATGAAGCTTAATTGTTATTAATAGGTTCAGTGCTCTCTTTAAAATAATTTACGTGCTTAAACTGCTGAGACTTCAGTGCTAATGTAGCATATGTACTCACCTACTTGTCCCTTTCCCCCCTTTTGGGAATTAATTTGTGTAGATTCCTCTTTTCCTGAAGCGTCTTCGGATTTTATGAACTTGCTGGATGGTTTACTTCAAAAGGACCCCCAGAGAAGGTCTGTATGGGTGCTGTTTCGGTCCGGACGACGAGTGGGACCTTTCTTTTGTTCATGGGTGTCTGAGACAGCACTGTTCTTAACACACACAGAGGCGTGCAAACTACTTTTCTTAAAAAGGAAATTCTTCCAGTCATAAGGAGTTTGAAGTCATTTTCTCTTTAATGAATTCAGTAGTTGCCTAGTAGCTTGGTGGATTGGATTTTCTTGTAACTTGTGAGTCCAAGCGCTGTGGTTCTTTCCATGTAGATGTCAGGCTAAAACTGCCTTAGACTGTTGGACTAGGGATGACACTGTCAAAATGGTTAATGTAAGAACAGTAACTGAGTGGTATTTTAATGCGATATATTTTTATGATACTCTTGTTATAATAGGGATATCAAAGGACAGGCAAATAGGCATAGTGTGACTTTTCTGTGTTGTGGCGTGGGGTAGGGCAGGGGCAGAGGGGGAGTGGGGAGGGGTCTCCCTGGCCTGGGAGTCAGGAGCAACTGGTTTCTAGTTCTGGTTCTGCCATGAGGTAACTAGAGGGAGGTGGTTGTTAAGCAAGTATTTGGGTCTCTGCTTCAGGGTGTAAAATGATGAATATATTTAGTATAGCATATAAAATAATCCATTCTCTATCTTAATTAAGTATAAGAGAGCCTGGCCAGTGGTTGAACGTCGACCTATGCGCCAGGAGGTCGCCGGTTCCATTCCCGGTCAGGGCACACGCCTGGTTCAGGCTCGGCCCCCGGCAGAGGGTGTGTAGGGGGCAGCTGATCGATGTTGATGTTTCTCCCTCATCGATGTATAAGTTGTAGGACCAACCTATGCTTATAATAGAATGCTTTTGTGATTAGTGTTATTTTGGTGGATAATCTTCCAGACAGTGCTTGATAGGCTATAAATGTATTTTATTTAGGATGGCATATGTACATTTCCATCTGTTTATGTCTCTATATTATATACTTTTTTGCGTAAATGGGACTACCCGTAGCCTCCATTTTTCTCTCTATATATCTGAGTAGTAATTTTATTATTTTATTTAAAAAATATCTTTATTGATTTCAGAGAGAGGAAGGGAGAGGGAGAGAGAGAGATAGAAACATCAATGATGAGAGTTATTGATCAGCTGCCTCTGCATGCCCCCGACTGGGGATCGAGCCCGCAACCCAGGCATGTGCCCTGACCAGGAATCGAACTCTGATCGCCTGGATCCTAGGCCGACGCTCAACCGCTGAGCCACGCCGGCCGGGCTGCGCAGTGATTTTAAATGGCTGCAGCATGTACATAAGATAACCTGTGATAGCAATAAACATTGAAAGTGTGTCTTGATTCATAATACCTTACACACTGCGACAGGAAATAGCCTTTTGAGTATTTTTGTTGTTCACTTGGGCAGTTCTTCTGGGTAAATTTATCACAGTGAGGTTGCTGGCTGAAGACTGAGAGCTTTGAAATTGTGACACATTTGCTGCCTCCTGGGAAAACGTGCTGAATGGGTTACACTCCTGGCAACGTGAGAGAGCCCTTTCCCTACTGCTGTTACCTACCCTGGGCTTTGTTCCTCTTACATTTTTGCCAATCTGATGGATGAAAAATCCCATTTTATTGGCGACTTTATTTCTCCATGAGTGAATTTTAAGAACCCTTGTATATATGGTTGCAAATTCTTTCTCTTTATCATTAGTGTTTTAATTTTGATGAAAGTAGTTTTCACTTCAATACAGAAATGTTGAACGATTAAATTAATCAAATATAAATTCTTTTCTTTTTTTGTTTTTAAATTTAAGTCAGGCTTACCTTTCCGAGTCTGATGAGTATACCTATAGGTACAATAATCTATTAGTAGTAAAACTCATACTTTGAAAGCGAGTCTGGGTTCTAGGTATAGCTGAAAGTCGTTTTAACGTGGGTGAACCAGCTAGATGACATTCTGGTACCTAAGCGGAGGTGTGACTATATATAGTCATGAAGTTGATACTCTTATGTATTTCTGAATGAAGTTCTAAGAGTGAACTCCAAAAATGAATGTGTAAAACAGGTAGGGTACCCTGGAATAATCTAGCCTCTCTTGGGACATAAAAGATGCCAATTACAGGTTGATAATATGTGACCTATTTACTTTAAAATTTTAAATTATTTATAGATTTCCTTGTTGACTGTTTTGAGAATCCGAAATGTTTTCATCAGGCTCCGTGTAATATGAGCTCTGAGACTTCAGTACTTAGTTGTCAGACTCTTTCATTCTGTACCATTTAAGGCTTCTGAATTGTTTATGAATTATTGGTTGCTGTTTAAGAGAGGTTAATTGCATACTGAAATGTAAGAGTAAAATATGACACAATCTTAGAGGTGCATGGAGATATTTATGAAGTATAAAACCTGATTCATATAACTGGGGCATGTCCTGGGAATTCTCCATGATAAATATAAAACATTTATGTTTTATAAAGGTTGACTTGGGCAGGCCTCCTGCAGCATTCATTTTGGAAGGATGCTTTTACTGGAAAAGATCAGGATTCAAGCACTGAGGACTCCAGCGTCAGGTAGGAGAAGCTTATCTTCATGTGTGGGGCATGGTTATTAAACACTCATACCCATTGCTGTTCCAATAAGGCAGCATCAATGACAATTTCTGTGCTTTCGTAGTAGAACAGTCAAGCATTTGTTTAAGGGTTTAAAGAGTTTCATCATGACATTTTTGTGTTCTTGATTTTGCTGATTTTCTGACCACTTGTTTCAACTCCTGTGAGTTAGTATGGTAGTTACTAGTTCTGTTTACCAAGTATAAGTGGTTTCCACCTCGCAAGCACATAGTAGGCTCTCATTTCCCCCTTTTCAGCTAGATGTGATCACATGACTTCCTTTGGCTAATGGAGTGTGACCAGAATTAATATATGCTATTCCTGGATAGAAACTTTAGGAGCCAGTGTGTGATTTGCCACACCTCTCCTCCTGGCGAGGTAATTGGGAAGAAAATGTCAGAATGGAGTTGCTGTCGGGCTGGATCTTTAGTGCCCACGATGAGCACAGCTTTCCCGGCAGCCTTCGCGCTGTGTGCGTGAGGAAGACAGAGTTACGGGATTCTGAGCCACTGGCGTTTGAGGGGTTGTATGTCACAGCATAACCTAGCTCATCTTGACTAATATACTTTATTTTTCTTATAAAAATCATGGTATTTGGAAAAGAACAGGTGAGAAGTAGCCGAATGGAGGTCAAGTCCAGATAACTGACTCTTCTTTCCCTCAGTTCACTCAGTGGCAAATGGTTGTCTGAGCCTTAATCTTAATCTTGGCAAATTCAGTGTATTGGAAGTGTAGAGAAGTCTGAATTCTGTTTACAGCCTTTCCTAAACTTGAGTTTCTCTGATCCAGGGATAAAGCATATAGATGTCTTCCTACAACACCCTGCATAGAGTAGTGCTCATTTTCAATACACAATGAAAAATACTACTTTTCTAACTCCATGGCTTTGCCAAGTGTCACATATAATTTAATTATCTTCTCCAGCCTCTTGTTCTACACAGAGACTGTACAGAAAGCTCAAAGTAAGTTCGATTGTGTTGACTTTCTCCTGTTGAACAGCAGGAACGTGATGGAATATTCCGGGTCACAAGATGCCAAGGAGCTTTTGAGGAGCCCCCAGAGTGGACAAGCCAGAGGGGAGAGCAGTGGCCAGCGGCCGAGCCGCCCTTTCAGACTAGGTGGGCTTTCGTTTGAGCACGTGCTTGCCTAGAGAGCTGCTTCGGAGAGTCCCCCCGCATACGTGCTCGCTCTGGCCTGTCTGCGTCATCCCTGCGCACAGTCCTTTGTTCCTCTATGGATAATGTTCTTTCCCACCACAGAAAATCCCACCGACTTGCGGCCTAAGAATACTGTTGGGGGTCAACTGAACGAGTCCATGTTCCTTCTCAGGTACGTAAAGTGATAGAGTCCCCAGACAGGAGACGAAAGTAAATCTTACAGCATCTGTTGTCCTGGTTTTTAAAATTCAGGTTTTTAAAAAACTCTGTACACTCTCTGGCATATCTTGTGAGCTAAGTAAGTATTTGTTTAATGAATGAACAAACAGATAGGTAAGTGAAAGAGAGGTGAGAATCCTGATGTTTGGGAATTTGAAGGAATTCACTTAAGAAGACCCTGGCGATCTGAGTGAATTTCTTAAAAATGTGAAAAACTTGAAACCAGTGACCCAGGGCTAATGGAGCGGCCCATTGAGAGCACGGCCGTCATTGACACGTGTGGGAGGAGTCATTACAGGCAGATGCAGATTTTATGTACAAAGATAATTTTCCCTATTGAACATTTTCTGAAATAAAGTTGTAAATATGACTCATCCTTTATAGAATATCTTTCTGATCTATTTTATTATGTTACTCCTGCTTATACCAGCAGACATTTAAAAAATAATAAAATCAATGTTTTAAGGTTTCTAATAAAAACCGAAAATACTGCAGAGAGCATAGAAGCTGTAAACAAGAGAGACAATAAATTAGCCAGGAAATTACTTTAAAAACAGTTATAAAAATAACAGTGTCATGTGAACACAAATTAAAGTTTAAATGTTTTTTATGTAATGAGATCGCATAGAATTACCATGCTCTGCAGTTTTTCGTGAGATGTGTTTTTATTTTTACCAGCATGTAGTAAGCAGGGGGTAAAGTTTCTGATGTCTGAATAGTGTTCACTGGTGTGTGTTTTTCAGCTCTCGTCCTACTCCGAGAACCAGCACTGCAGTGGGGCTAAGTCCTGGTGAGGATGTGCCTCAGAGTTCACCACAGAGGCTGCCTCCTTTGACCAAGGTGAACAGACATGGGTTGTTGTTTTGTTTTTGTTTTTTACATGAGATATAGAGATTCCAAAGAATAATTGCAAGTTGATCTCTGAACTATATTCGTGATTACAAAATTTACAACTAAGTCATTTCCGTGATTATCATTGGCTTTTCTCGTAAGCACACTTAAGAGAGAGGTGCTTTATAGTTTTTTTTAATAGCTTTATTGAGATGTAATTGACATACCATGTAATTCACTCGTTTAATTCACCCGTGTGGAGATCAAATGAGACTGAGAGTGTGTTGAGTAGCAGCTATTCTCAGTGGTGTCTTACTCAGCATCTTACTAGTTCAGTCTTTTAAAGTTCTTTGCTGGCACAGAACCAAAGCCTAATTTTTGTTCCCGTTTCAGACCACAAGTGACCACCTGAGTCAGCAGGACATGGAATCCCAGATGCGAGAGCTCATCTACACAGACTCAGAACTCACTGTCACCCCAATTATTGACAATCCGAAGGTGGGGAAAGACGCTCCACTCACCCGGGGCTGAGTTTTCGATTTCACTGAGGACTGAAATCTGGGTGATGTTTTCATCTCTGCTCCTCTTGTTGTCTACTTTGATTTCATTCATGCCGCGTGTCTGCACCTCTAACTCCCACCCTGTGTGTAGCCCTCGCCCCATCCTGCCTGGCGAGTTTCCTTCGTGTTGTGCACTGGCTCTGCCTCCCCCAGTCCAGCGGGCTGAGGAGTGGCTGCTGACTCTGAGACCTCAGACCTTAGTCTTCTATTCTTTCACTTCTCAATACCTGCTTAATGTGATGTCAGTGAGCCCCACTCACCAGGCGTGGCTGAGTGCGCCGATCATATAGGGCCTCTCATAGGTTATCAGGGTGCAGGGTGGGCGGTGGCAGCCCCTGGGAGCTTGGGGACTCATGGTTCACCATGCACTTCTACCCCAGTGGGCTACTGTTGCTCATGCCTTTTGGAAAGTAGTACTGTATCAGTATGGGGTGAGTACCCTCCTTAAAAAAATTCAGTTTCTCAGTCTCTTTGTTTTCTATTGATCTCCAGTCTTCAACACATTCCACCACCATCTATTCTATATTTTAATTTTTAAAAATGTCTCTTTCTGTATTAATTTGTGACGGTTTCCTCTCATCTCATCGGGGAACATTGCTATAGTTTAGAATAAATGGGTTCCTGGATGTGTGTTTATTTACTAGAAAGACAACACTGAATATAGATTGCCCAGTTATTTTTCATAATGGAGCTACTTCTTTTTAGGAGTTTAGATGTCTGGCAGAGCAACTGGATATTATGCCAAATTTAATGTCTAATTGGGCATTTTCCCAGGGGACCTTCTAGGATAATTTGTGATTTAAAAAAAAAAATTTGTCTTTATTGCTTTCAGAGAGAGGAAAGGAGAGGGAGAGAGAGACACATCAATGATGAGAGAGTCATTGATCGGCTGCCTCCTGCACGTCCCCTGCTGGGGATGGAGCCCGCAACCCAGGCATGTTCCCTGACCGGGAATCAAACCGCTATCTCCTGGATCCTAGGTTGATGCTCAACCGCTGAGCCACGCCCAGCGAGGCCATGATTTAAAAAAAAAAAAAAAAATCATATTCTCTACTTTTTAAACCACATTTAGTTGTTTTGGGAAATATTAGTAGCTATTTTTTAAAAAAAATTTTATTATAAGCTTTTATTTTGAACTGATTTTAGACTTACAGAAAAGGTTAAAAAATACTAGAGTTCCTCTTTACCTCCCCTCCCCCGTTCCTCCCGATATTAATGCCCCACAGGACCGTAGATGGTGAGCAGAACCAGGGAATTAACAGCACAGTGCTGTTAACTAAACACCAAACATGACTTTACCAGCTGTGCCCTGATGTCCCTTTTCTGTTCCAGGACCACATTTCAGTTTATGTCTCCTTGCTCTCCTGCTGTAGGTCCTTGTCTTTCATGGCCCTGTGGCAATTTCTCAATCTTGGCTTGTTTCTCGTGACCTTGACACTTGGAAGTGGTCAGGTATTCTGCAGAATGTCCCTCAGTTTCGGTTTGTCTGAGGGCCACTCTTGATGAGAGCGAGGTTATGCATTCCTGGTAAGAATACTACCATCCAAGGTTTTAAAAATGGACTATAGATTTTGGAGAAGTTAGATATAGAAATGATGGTTCCATTTTTTTAATTAAAAATCTCAAGAGGAAGGACTCCAGCTTTTCAGTCTCACATACTTTCCTATTCAGGCTGTCACAGCTTCCTGCAGCGGTGTCGTCTTGAATTCAACCATCAAGTCCTAACCATTCTTAAGACCTCAGTCCACCTTCTGCCTCTTCTGTTGGCCTGAAGTGCTTCCTGCATTCTCTCATATTTAAAAAAAGTTCTCTTGTGAAATGTAACTATGTCCTGCCTGTTTTGCATTGTTACTTAAGTATTGTTATTGTTTAACAAATGTTTATTACCCAGAGTGTCTGCTCTCTGACAGCCAGATCGTGTCTTCTTTATCTCTGTGTCTCCCTTAACACTTAGCGTAGTACCTTACTCTGCCAGGTGCCCAACACATGTTTTGTTGAATGACCAAATTTCTAACCTAGAGGTAAATTAGCTTACAAATAAGCCAAGATAGGGTAACTCTTTCATGATGCTTTATTTTTTTGCAAGTATCAATTGAAATTTTATTTTTATGTTATAAGTTTATACATAATTGGGAAGGGCACTGTTGAATTCTTATTGGTGACAAATTTTACAACGTTCTTTTCTGTCCTCATTGATTTATAATCTGATATAGGAGACAAATCGGGAGCCAATGTCTGTCTCAAAAAGTATTTTTTTTTTTTAACCACAGATAATGAAACAACAGCCGATTAAATTTGATCCAAAAATATTGCATCTACCAGCACATTCAGGTAGGATCATAGAGGGTTTATTGAACATGTAGACACTCTGCAGACAGAAATTTAACAGCAAATGGAATATTTTATTCGTGTATAGCTAAATTTCTATTTTCTGGGCCACAACCGGCTGTTTTCTTGGCAGTGTTATGTAAATTATAAACAGCCTATAATCCATTTGTGCCAGCCTTTGACCTTGCTCAGCTGCGTCTGGGCTGCCTTGTGCTCCTGTGGGTGGGAGAGTTCCTGTAAAGCTGGGAGAGTTTTCCTGTTACATGGGTAGGCCCTTCTCCTGACCTTCCCCTTGCAGAGCCCATTGAATTTCCAGCATTCATGGTGCTGTTGTGGGTGTGGAGGGTTGGAGACCACAATGAAGAATTGAGAGTCTACTCAAGGAAGCCAGGGCAGTTGAGAATGGGGCCGGATGGTTCACTTTTGTGGGGATGGAGATACTTAGAGGAAGATCCTTACATTTCCTTTCACCAATTGGAAAGTCTGATTTGGGTTAAACATCAGAAATTAAAAAAAATATTTTTATTGATTTTTTTTTTTTTAAGGAGAGAGGAAGGTAGAGGATGAGAGAGAGAAACATCGATGTGTGAGACTGAAACACGTCTCCTGCATGCCCCCTAATGGGGACTCTGCTCGGGACAGCGCCCAAGCACACCAGCCAGGGTGGAAATTTTTTTGTATCTTAAATTTTGATTTATTTTTTATGGTAAAGCTTTTGAACTAGATTTGGAAGAACTTCATCATCATGGCTGGAGTAGAATCACTGATTTGAAATCAAATCAAAGGAAATTTAAAAAATAAACAAAATATAGTCACCTTTAAATAAACCATGCCAAATAGAACCACCATTTATGAAAACCTAGAGGATTATTATGGAAATAATGTTAATCCTTCCCTTTTGCCCTTGGCTTTGAGTTATCCTGGGAAATGGTGATTGCAGTTTGTTTTGTCTAAAGGTGGAGATGAGCTCAAATGTGTTAACTTTGGATGGCATCTGTTTTCCTAGTTTTTGCCTTTTGTTTGTACAGGGACCTGGAGGCAGGACTCCCAGGTGATTTCAGCTGTCACATGAACCTGGTTACGTTTAATAGTAATCTTATTGGAACATTTAACAACTGTAAAATGTTTGGCTTTTCTAATATTTTAAGGCTAGATGGCTTTATTTATACAAAGACTTGTTTTTTTGTAATGCAGTTTTATTTAACTTTGCATTTTGTTATATTTTCAGCACAGGATAATTCTCTTTTAGGCATCTCTCTTTTTTTTAAACATAGTTTTCCATTGACATAGTTAAAAAAGTCTATAGGAAGAAAAAGCAGTGAGTAGAGGAGAGTAAATAAAAATAGTGTCAGCTCTGGAGTTCTTTTGTTTTTGACATTGCGAGGTCGTGATTTTTTTTGTCTTCAGCTATCTCAATTCTGTGTTCCATTTTCTCTCTTGTAATATTTCCGGCAGCCCTTTGTCACGAGACCCACTTTTAATATTTCCTTTCCTCTTCAGTGGATAAGTTAATGTCACTAAAAGACCAGGATTGGAATGACTTTCTGCAACAAGTGTGCTCACAGATCGACTCCACCACCGAGAAGACCATGGGGGCCTCCCGGGTCAAGCTGAACCTCCTTTGCTATCTGTGCGTGGTGGCCAGCCAGAGGGAGGTGGCCACTAGGCTCCTGCATTCCCCACTGGTAGGTAGTTCAGTTGTGACATGTTTAAACACTCCTTTCATGGTCCTTGCAGCAGTGCCTTCTGCATGTCACCTGTGTGTATCTACAGAGATGAAAATGAGAGCTAAAATATTAATTTGTTCCCATTACAACAGAAAAGGGACTTACCAAGATTATAGGTTTGTCAAAACTATCTTCCATTTAATTCTTAGACCTAAAAGCGGTTGAGTAGACAGGGAACTAATTTGCTAATACTCTGGCTTGGATTTTATGTTGACTTGTGATCATTGTATGATATATTTCATGTCTGAAATCATAAGACAGAGACCTTTTCATCAGTTTCTGGGATGAGCTGCCCATGTGGAATAGAGGTGCCTTTATTGGGCCACCTGGTAAACCCCAGGGTTTCGGATGGGACTCTGAAGGGAGCCATTGAGTGTCTAAGACTTTTCCCCCGGTAGTGTTATTTCTGGGGCTGGCCTGGCTAATGAGTGAGGCCCAGAGTTCGGCAGAGCCTTGGAAGTCATCACCAGAAGGAGGGCCCAGTGGTCTGCGGTGGCCATAGTGGGGCCTCGTTTGGGAACTGGCTTGAAAATTTAAATAATTTCCTTTCAGGATAGCTTTAAGGTTATTTTTTTGGTTCTTGGTGTGTGTTTATGGGGTGAGGGGTGGGACATACTTAGAGAATATAACGGTATGAGGAACTGAAAGCAGTGTTCCTAGTTTTTATTTTTATCTTCTTCATATACTCAGTGCTTTTGCGTTTTGTAAGTGAGCATCTTCTTGGTGCGGGATTCCCACCGCAGCTGTGCACAGGCCTGAGTTCGTAGCCGCGCGGTCACTTCCTGGGTGGTTCCATGATTAAAATGTATGTCTTCATTTTTTATCCTAGTTCCACCTGCTAATCCAGCATTTGCGAATAGCCCCAAACTGGGATATGTAAGTAACATGTATATTTTATTAACAATTTATTCTTCATTATCTTAAGTAGTTACAGCATATACACTTCCCCAAAGCACATAGTCCTCAGTACAAATTATTTCCAAGTAATGATGATTCTGAATCATGGGCAATTCCTCTAGGCCTCCCAACAGTACATGTCAAAAGATTTAAAAATAGTCCTGCCCGGCCAGGTGTGGCTCAGCGGTTGAACGTCCGCCTAGGATCCAGGCGATCCAGGTTCGATTCCCGGTCAGGGCACATGCCTGGGTTGTGGGCTGCAGCCAATCAATGACTCTCTCATCATTGATGTTTCTATCTCTCTCTCTGCCTCTCCTTTCCTCTCTCTGAAATCAATAAAGATATATTTAAAATAAAATAAAAATAAAATAAAAATAGTCCTTATGTTATTATGGATTTCATTCTCGGATGATGTGAAGCATGTCTGGGAACTTTATCAACTGTTACTCTTTTGAGTGTTTATCAACTACCTTACCCCTCATCCTGTGCTTTAATTTAGTTACGCCTCCTGGGGAGCTTTCCCTCGCCACTGTGTCTTTCTGTTACGTAGAGCACAGCTTCCTTATGATGTTGTTTAAAATCCAGTGTGCTTATGATCTGTAAGCTCCTCATGGAAGGACGTGCACTTGCTTATGGAGGCAGCACGCATGGTGAACAGCATGTTAGATAAAGTGTTAGAGGGCTCTGGACCCTGGTTGCCAGTGAGACTTGGCCAGGCGATGACCTCTTCCTGAGGCTCAGCTTCCTGGGGTGTCTGTGTGGGGCGGTGAAATTGCATGGACTTCGGGCTCAGACAGACCTGGCACCTCCCTGTGGTTCTCCTCTGAGTCTGACTTGCTTCCCTCCAGGGGGCTCCTGTGTAGTTATTTTAAGAACCTAAAAAGTAGAGGCTCTCTGGTGGCTTAGCCCAGAGAGCATGCAGGCATCCCTGCATAAGAGTACAGTTCTCCTCGACTCATACGCTCAACCATTTTTTTCACATTAAAAAAAAGATTCTTATCAAAACTAATTTTCTGCATGAAATAAACTTTTACAAATCACCTGAAGTGATATTTAATAACTTATCAACTTTATTTTCTGCTGGGTAATGAAACAGATATACCTCACTAAAACTCGTATTGACTAGTACTTATTAAAATAGGACAATATTTGTAAGACTTATGATTGTAAAACTTTGTATTAAAGTGAATATGTACATACAGGGTGAGGCAAAAGTAGGTTTACAGTTGTGAGTACATGGAAGTTTATTCTTGTATTATTGCTTATTAATTATTGTATTATTTTCCATATGAACAACTGTGAACCTACTTTTGCCCCACCTTGTCTATGTTTAACACTTCTGATATTATTTACTACTTATATATAAAATCACTGGTCTACTGCTGGTTAGAGTGTTGGCCCGAGGACTGAAGGGTCCCAGGCTCAATTCCAGCCAAGGGCATGTATGTCAGTTGCAGGCTCCATCCCCGGCCCAGGTCGGGTCCCATGCAGGAGGCAACCAATGGACACGCCTCTCTCACATCGATGTCTCCCCCCCCCAACACTCTCTCTGAAAAGCAATGGAAAAAATATCCTCGGGTGAGGTTTGAAAAAACGAAAACAAATAAAAAAATAAAATAAAATCACTGGTCTACTATTAAGTAGAACAGAGTCCTTTAGCCAAATACCTCTGTACTCAGAAATAAAAGGGCTAATTACTATGTCTTCCTTCTTCTCTCTGGTTAAGGCCTTTTGAAAATGTTTTTCATTTTGCTGTAAAATCACAACTTTTACAAATGGGACCGCAGAGGGCATTGCTGTTCAGGCCTCCCGTGTGCGGGGCGTTTCTCTGGGCTCTGTGCGCGGGGCTCGCCCCATCTCACGCCATGTTTATCCACGTTAACGCTCATCATTGCCCCGTGGAACTCCCCCGGGGTCGGTTTCCTCAGCCCCTGACTCTGCTGTTTAAAGACTGTTTCCTGTGCACTTACAGACGAGCCAAGGTTGCTCGCGTGATTGGTTTACTGGCCGCACACACCGCTGAACTTCAAGAACATACACCTGTTATTGAGGTAAATTCTTCATACTTATTTCCTAAAAAACAGCACAGTAGTATATACTTAGCTGTCTGGGCAACTGTTGTGAACTAAGCCCTGGGATAGTGAGTTCACAGGGGAGCATGAACCTGTGCCAGGGCCTCCGGTGAAGCTTTGGCTCAGTTGGCTGTGATAATTGGAGCAGCCACTAGAGGGCACTCAAGCCCTGGAAACTAAGTTTCCCAAGTTCAAGGATTCATCTTCCAACTTCTGGAAGAGGCAGGCTTGGCAGGCGTAGCTTTTCTGTTTTCACCATTTTCCTGTTTTCGTGTCCCTTTTGTTTTGGAGTTTCTGCTGTGTGAAATGCAGCAGCATCCCAGTGGTGATGAAGACCATTTGAGATTCATGGAAGGCCAGGCAGCCCCTCCAGAAAAACACAGTGCACACTGCGCCCGTGATCTCAGGGGGCTGGGAACCCAGGGGTGCCTCTGGGAACCCCAGGGGCGGTGCTCTTTGGGCTGCATTTCTGTGAGACTCTCAGTTGGGTGTTTGTAGATCATCGTTCAGTAGATTATTAATAAAATTTCAAGTGAGAGATGTGTCCTGGTTTCTCCAGTAGGTTACTATTAGTGGACAATAAAAATCGTGGCTGAAGATCCCATAGACATTTCAAAGGCACAGAACCTCATTGCGTTACTCATCTGTGCTTCCCACAGTGCCTGGCAGCAAGGTAGCGCGTATTTCAGGCACTTGGTCAGTGTCGAAAGATTTAGTAAATGATTAGCAGAACGGGAGGAAGGTATGCGGTGTATTTTGTTCCAGAGACAGAGAGATGGGGGAACATCTGTTTTACGATCCTTAGGATGTAGCTTAAGCCTCTTTCATCTCACTCTGTTGTCAGTGGCTACAGAAGAGAGCTGAGCATCGCCTCTTGTGTGTATTTACAAGCATTTATTCAATTCTTCGTTTTCTTCGTGGAAAAACACAGCCCAATTCTTAGACTTTTCTTCCTAGATAACACACTTATCTCCCAGTGATCATCGTGGTTCGTGTGTGCAATAATTTTTAGGAAATATTCCTGGCATTTTGGTACCGATATGTGGTGTCAAACATGCCATGGATATAAATTAGGAAATTGAATATAGAGCTGAATTGAATATAGAAAATTTAGAGCTGAAAGAATATTAACAGACGTTGTAGTTTGACCCCCCTCATTAAATGTTTCTGTTAATGGGAATTTCAACATACGTAAAAGTGGAGAGACTGGGATAAGGAGACATCGCTCATTTCCCGCCATTGTTAGCACTTGTCTGTCTGCCGTCTTATCTCTCACCCTCCTCCCTCCCATCTCCTTTCCTCTCCCCTCTCCCCCCTCTTTGTTCCCTCCTCTCTTTCTCACTGTAGTATTTATTTAAAAGAAATTCCAGACATATTTTACTCATAACTACTTCAGGATATGTATTAACAGGAAAGGGCTTTAAAAACTATAACCACAATACCACCGTCACACCCAAGGTCACAAGAAGTTTCTCCTATGCATGTTTCTTTCTAAAATTCTTGTAGTTTTAGATTTTTATAATGAGGCTGACGATTCATTTTGAGTTAATTTTGGATAGGGTGTTAGGTATGGGTTGAGATTTATTTGTTTGCATTTAGTCAACACATATTTAATGAGCACATTCTCTGAGCCAAGTAACGGGATAGGCACTGGAGGCCCAGTGATGAGCAAAACAGGTGTCGTCTCTGTCCTCACGAGCTTTGTACCGGACGAAGGAAATGAAACAGAAAGGGGGCTAGGAAGGAAGCCTGAGAGGGAACAGTGGTGAACTGGAAAGGAACTCGGGGCGGGGGGGTCGCTTCAGTGGGAAGGAGAGGGGGTCCTGGGCTACAAAGGAGGAAACGGTAATTTTTTTATTGTTTCCGAGAGTTAGGTTAAGTTGAAAACAGATGTTTTGATTGGAGTTGGCAAGACAAGTGAGGTTGCATAGAAAACCGGGTGAGCAGGTGAATGTGCGCCCAGATGAAGACTTTGGGCTGGAGTGTGAGGCGCGTTTAAATGCTGATGAAGAGATGCACCCCAGAGGGAGGCATGTCTGAGGGCAGAGGCAAGACGGGGGCTACCGGGAGGTAGATGGTGGGTAGAAGGGAATGACCCAGAATAATTGGCCTTAGATCAGAGAAGGGACACTTCACCTGCTGTCACAGGGAGAAAGGATGAACAAAGGTGGGTGGTGGGGGTAAGGTTGGTGGTGGGAGCCTGGGGGGTCTTGTATCGAATGGCTCTGATAGTGGAGTTCATCAAGGTCACCCCGGGAAAGGGGAATGACTGCCTTGGGGACTGAGGTAGAGGAGACGAGGGGAGTCTGTCACCACGGAGAATGGGAAAGGTGCAGTAGGGTGTCCTGGAGGCCAAGGTTGCGATTAGGAATTTAAGGTGGAAGAAACCAATTTGCCCAGTTGTGTGACGGTCTCCAGAAGATACTTGGGTTTCACTCAAGGGGGGTTGGGTCCGTTGGAGGGAGGCAGTGGCTGCTTCCAAACTCTCATATGGCCCTGTGGTTTTGAGTCTTACACCCAGAACCCAATCTATATGGGAAAGAGGGCGGTAGGCTTGTTGGCTCTAATGGTCTTGTTTAAAAATTATTGCTGAAGGGCTTTGAATAAGGATCTTGAAAAGATGTGCATGCAGATCAGAGTGTGTGGGTTTGAGCAGCGTTGGCGATACGGTCGGGGTCCCCATGTCTGGATGGCTGAGTCTGGGTGCAGGACCAGGTAAAGGGGCTGAGTGATGAGGTTAAGGAACTGTGCTCAAGTGGCCGGGTGTGGCCGCCTCATGGGCCTCCACTTTGCTGAAGGCGAGGCCGGCAGTGCACGAGAAAGGGAAGGAGGTGAGCAAGGCGCTGGGGTCCTCAGGGGACAAGAACAGTGAGCGGAGGCCGGCAGCCAAGGGCCCTGAGGCGGAGGGGGTGGGTCGTGACCTGTGAGGCCCAGAGGCCCTTTGGCAAGCCCGCGTTTGCGACGGGTAGCATCCTCACCTCGCTTCAGACTACACTTTGAGTTAGGGTCAAGGTTACATTTGCTGCTTGGCAGGACAACTGGAAGCGTGGAGAGACAGATCTTCCACCACCATCTCAGAGAAAATGATCTCTCCCTTCTTTAGACAAAGAGCCGTTTAGATTTGGCCCATCCTGAGGACTCGGTTAGCAACAGTGCCGTGCGTTTGCTGGTGTACGTGTTACAGCCACGACGAAGCCCTGCCACGGTGTTGCCACGGGAAGGACTTGTGAGGAGTTGGTCAGCCATGTTTCTGTTCACACTTTTCTTTCTATAACCTGCATTTGAGCGGAGTCTAGGGGATGGCAATCTGCAAGCATGATTCTAGGAGCTGTCCCGAAAGAATAACCTCTCTCTGTTGGGTTCACGCTGCCCCCCTTTTCATGGTCACTCCTTAGCCCCATGATGCTCTGCGCCCCGCTGCTGCCTCGGGCCGTCTCCTCGTTGTTCCGTGTGGGTGGCTGGGAAGTGCCTCCTTTCACATCAGACACTGTGACCATTTGTTTCTTCTTTTTTTTTTTTAAATTTATTGATTGCTTTTTAGAGAGAGGAAGGAAGGGAAAGAGGAGTGGGGAGGGAGAGGGAAGCATTGACTTGTTCCACTTACGCATTCACTGGTTGGCTCCTATATGTGCCCTGACTGGGGCGGAGCCCACACCTTGGTGCACCAGGCCAGCGCTCTACCCAGCTCACTACCAGCCAGGGCCTTCCCTGGGGCCACTTCTGGCTTGTTTAGCCCTGAGCTGAGACCGATGTCATTAATAATCGTCCGCGTTGTTGGATTCAGTGAATTTGCCCTTGTGCCTCCCTGCTAAACTTCCTTTCCGGTTAGTATGTGGACAGCATGGGAGACAGATTTGTTGAAAGTGATGAAACAAGAGCTGAATAATATTTGGGTCTTTGTGTAGAACGTGCCAGCTTCGTTATATTCAGCCGCGATGCCGGAGTGGATGTCATTTGGGGAACTGCCGTATTTGAATCACTTTTGCATACAAATTAAACATCTCACATCAAAGAATTCTTAAAAGGCATGCTTCCTAATTTTTTATAATGGTAGAATTCATTTAATTTCCTACCTGACATCTTGTAGAACAATTTTTAGCTCCTGTGTTTCTCGCTTTGACTAATTTTTATGCTCATTTTACCCGGGCTGTGAACATACCTTTGTTATAATATTTTTAGAGCAGTGGTTGTGGGGCTTATGTGTTTGAATGTGGTGTAATTTAGTAATCCTTGGAAACCTAGCAAAGCATCACATTTCATTTTCTATTAGATGAAAGAAACATGGGAAGAAAACTGGTGATGGAAAGAATTGCACAAAACACAACTAATCAGAGCTGATCCCTGAAGCAGAAAAATGCAATTTAAAATAAACTTCCTTTGTATTCCGGTTATTTGAGTTGTGTTGGAGAGACGACTATTAAGATATAGTAACAAGTAAATAATATTTTGCAAATAGTAAGCTCAAAACTGCAGTCTTGGAGTTAGGGTCTTTGTGCCATAACTTTCACATATTCTGACATCAAAAGTCTCAGTTTTAATAACGGACATTGGTAACTTGGTTTCTTAAGAAGACATTTATGTAGTGGGCACAGTTGTGTTGTTTCCCAATAAAAATGTCATTGAACCCTCGAGATACACACACACACGCACACACACACACACACACACAAACACAGTCTACGCCAGTAGATGCGTTAGATAAGGAAGGGAGCACCTGCCAGAGGAGTTTGGAGGTACCTGCCGTGTATGTCTGGCTTGGCCTCCTCTGCCTGGAACAGTCTCTCCCTCTGTCTTTGCCAGGGTTAGTTTGTGGGTGCCAGAGGGAAGTCGAGAAGTGTGGGAAGAGGGGACACATCTCTTTCCAGTACAGCTGCCAGGAGTCCTGGCTGCAGTACCCCACACTGGCAAGAAGACACTTGTTAGAACAGCATTATGCTCTTGTCGTCACTGTGGGTAGATTCTAGATCGAGGCCTCTGCAGACTGCAAGGGTCTTACTCTGTGGGAATCCTGCCAGTTGCTCAGTGTGCCTTTTCTCTGCATGTTCTGGGATGAGGGAAATAACCAAGGATGGGTCCATGGCCCCACTGGACAGATGTGGGATGGATTTGGCTAAGACTCCATGCAGTACCTGACCTTGAAAGGCAGCTAGTCAGGCTGCTGGGGTAGAGTGGCATTTCAGGTCTCCAGAGGTCGGCCCAAGGTCAGAGCTGGTGTCTGATAACTTTAATGGGTCTGTGTATTTCTCTTTCCCCAGTGCTCAGGCACATGGTAAGTGGCTGAGGACTCTCTGAGGTAGGAGAATGCTAGGGAGCATGTATAGTACTCACCTGTGGTCGTGGTGTAGGGGCCTCTTTCAAAGGGCCCTGCAGCCTAGTCCAGGAGCTCTGGGTCTGAGTCAGCTGAACTCTTGCTGCAGGCCTGGGTGTCTCCGAGGGCAGCTGACCCCAGCATTCCAGGCCCTTTCCATCTTATATAGCATCTCCAGCAGCAGGATGCTTTAAAGTTCCCTGGGGTGGGGGAGAGAGTATGGGACATCGACACAGGGATATATATATCATTTCTAGCCAATTGCTCGTAACTAGTCACCCTGCCCCACCCTATTCCAAGGGAGCTGGGAGATATTTCTGTGTGTCCAGGAAAGGAGGGGAACCGGACAGCACAAGTACTGTCTCCCACTTCTGTAATCTGTCTGTGTGTTACCTACGCACCGAGGAGGAAATGGGTAAGGTCAATGGCTCTAAGAGAAGGTTTGGGACACTCAAGACCTGGCAGCTCCGGAAGGCCCCTGGAACAGGGCCCTCTCGGAGGCTCACTTGGGCCGCTGCTCGAACGAGTGAGTGAAAGTCAGCGGTTCCTTTACTGTGTCCCTTGGCTCAGCGCTCAGATTTTTAAGCAAGAGCCTCCTGGCTGAGTGTCAGCTGCGACCCTGCCCTTGTCTGTGCCACACTGTGGGAGGAAGGATGCTTCTGAAGGGAGCCCGGGACCCTTCAGCTTCCATGCCTGGAGGGCAGGATGCTGCTGTTGTCACCCCACAGACTGAGCCCAGTACAGGAAAGGCATTTCCCCAAAGGAATTTGAGTCATGTTAGGAAGAGGGACTGGATTACCGGTAACCAGAAATGACAAATTTCTCTTACAGTCGATAGTTTGTGTACCTATTGCTTCCAAACTTTTCATGTGACTGTAACAGACTGGATAAGAAATGTGCTGATGTATTTTATTCGCTTCTCCTGACAGTTCATCAGGTTTAAGAGGAGGAGTCACCAGTTATAGGTTCTTTATATTTAGGCCTCAACAGGGAAGTGACAAGACACTAGTCCTTCCTTCTTCCTGGTTCCTAGTTTTAGGAGTTAGATGCCCACTATAGAGGCCAGTTTGAGTGCAGTTACCCAGTCAGCATGCAGAGAATTAGAGATTAAAGACCACGTTTACAGAAGACAGTATTAATGGGCTGCTGCCAAGATGTCACAGGGAAAGCTGCTTACAGATAATGCAACAGTGCAGGGACATTTTCAGTTATGAAACCCAGATTTCTGAGGCTGAAGAACTAAAATCTATTTTACCTTTTTTGTTCTGTTTCATAATGGCTTTTTCAAATGCTATTCTACCTATGTAAAAAAGCCCGCATTTCTCCCGGTATTCCTCATTTATGTGGTATGTTATTACTATTACAGTTTTCCTCTTTACTGTTAATATTTCTTTAACGTTTTACAACAAGTGGGAAAACTATGCAAACAGCACTGTGGAGAAACCTTGTCTGCTGCGTGCTGCTCAGTGCTCTCCAAGGGTAACTCACGCAGGTGAGGTGCAGGCCGCCGCGGCGTTGCTGGCGTAGAATATGCAACGCGGGTCTGTCTGCGCTGCGCTCCTAAGCAATCTCTATCACGCTGGAGGCGGCTCAGACGGCTTCATCTCCTCAAGGATCTGCAGCATTAAGATGTTTCTAATTTCCAGTGACGCTCACTGATACGGAATGCCAGTGGGTTATAAAACGGAGAGATGCTATTAAATCCCTGTCACTAACTTTGTGAAGCAGAGAGCTGGGTATGGGTTTTGAATTTAGTATGAGGTTGACTTTAAAATAAATTAAACATTTTATTTTGAGATAATTAATAGATTCACATGAGGTGATAAGAAATAACACAGAGAGATGCTGTATATGCTCCATCCAGTTTCCCCAAAGATTGCATCTTGGGGAGCTATAGTAGAGTATTACAACCAGGATATTGACATCAAACAGTTAAGGAACAGTTTCAACACCCAAGGGCCCCTCATGTTCCCCTTTTTAACCACACCCGCTTCCCTCTCTCACCTGTCCTCCCCTGTCCCCCAGCCCCTGGCAGCCACTAACCTGTTTTCCATTTCTATACTTCCGTCATTTTGAGAATGCTATATAAATGGAATCATACCTTTTGGGATTGGCTTTTTTCATATGTAGCATATTTCTCTGGTGATTCATCCAGAGAAAGGAGCCAGACAAAAGTATATATAGTTTATGATCCCATTTACATAAACTCTAGAAAATGTGAATTAATGACAGAAGGTAAATTGGTGGCTGTCTCAGAGGGGAGAAGGGAGCGGGATGGAGGGATTAATTACCAAGGAAACTGGAGGAAGCACTCGGGGGTGTGGGTGTTGACTTCACCGATGTACGCCTGTGCCAATTGTATCTGAGTAACTGTATATGGATGCAGTTTATTGTATGTCAGTTGTAACTAAACAAAGCCACTTAAAAAATACCACATCCACAAGTGTTTCTCTAGTCCCGGACTTGTGCAGCTCACCGCACACGGATCTCCAACTCCTCCATGCTCTTGTTTACAAAACCAGCGACCACATGCTTGATATTGTCACGTTGTCAAGTTGCTCTGGAAGTTTTTAAATGCTCTCGTGCAGTTTTCATACTTACATCTTGGTGGATGGTAAGCAGTCTCGTCTGTGCACCGCGCTTTGAGCCACACTGTTTTAGAGCGGCGCCTCCATGATAGTCACGTACATTTCGTTCCCTCTCAGAGTGGCCTGTATTCGAGTGTTACTCCGAAACCATTCTCCCCCACTTCCTGGCGCTTTGATTAATCTGTGTCCTCATGTGTGTATTCTAGTAACGAGTGCATGTGATTTTGTTAGCATGAGTCCTAGGAAATAAACTACATTTAATAAATGCTGCTGAATTTCAAAGTGGATCATATTGAAACTTTGGTATAATATCTGTACTCTCAGGTTTTTGAAGTTTTAAAGTTTAGTGCAGTGTGAGAATTTTTCAAAGTGGGGAGGGCTGGCATGTACTGGGGGTCTGGCAAGGTAAAATCTGGGTTCGGATCCTGGCCGTTTGAGTGAACTGGATGGAGAGTTGCCGGACGCTTATCCTGAGTTTCCTGCCTCTCAAGATAGAGCAGCAGTTGCCTCAGGATCAGTGATGCAGTGAAAGTGCTTGGAAATTGACAAGTGCTGTCCAGATGGGAGCTTATTTTACTGGGTGTATTTTTATGTTCATCGGGGACAGTTATAATTTTTTTCAGCAATAAGGCCCATATTTTGAAAATAATCTGGAAACTGGTTCTTAAAACTATTTGGAATATGAATTTTGTAGTGTCTTGCCTTTTACAGGTAGGTTAAAGAACTGAGAGATACATAGGAAATAATACCCTTTTTTCTCTTTTCAGGCAATTACTCTCTTAACTGAATTAATTAGGGAAAACTTCAGGAACAGCAAATTAAAACAGTGCCTTCTGCCAGCCCTCGGGGAGCTGATCTATCTCGTAGCCACACAGGTGAGACTGATTAAGATGAACTCTGCTGCTGTGTGACATGTTCTGACACATCCCGGCCAACACGTATTAATAGCCTATGAAAGTTCTCTGCCTGTGCGCCTTAGAGCATGCCTCAGGAGCTCAGGAGAGATTTTACCCCTGGAGGAGAAAGGCGTTGGTGCCTTTCCGTCTGTCTGTCTTTCTGTCTCTCTGTCAGTCATCTCCCCCCCTCTCCCAGTGCCTTTTTTTTGGTTATTTTAGAGCAGTGATTTTCTGCCGGGGTACCGCAATATTCCCGTTGTTTCTAAAAGTAGATCTGGAGAATCATTTTCCTTGGTACTTACTCTAATTGGAGCTAAGCCAGGTTGTTCTAATAAAGCTCATGTCTGTGGTTGTGACATTCGACCACATCTTATGATAGCAAACCTGAAGAGGAAGGTCTGTCCCTGGGTCGATGGAAACCCATATGTTTTCAGGAGATGAGGGCTTTTGTGGAATTGTCACTTTGAATATACATCCACCTTGAAATCTCAAGTCAGTGCTGACCCAGCGAGGCTGGCCTGAAGCTATAGTACACAGTGTATAAGAGACCTCAGCCCCGCCCTGAAGATGCTCTGGTCACACCCTCAGGTTGCAGGCTCGGTGAACACCAGAGTGTGACTCTGCAGAGGATGCTATAAGGCAGTACAGTTACAGTTTATGTGTATTTTCTTTTGTTAGGGATGCCTCCCACCTGAGCCCGTGTATTCTTATTTTGTCATTTTTTGTCCAGCCATAGTCACCTCTCACCTGACTGTTGTCAGAACTCCCAGTCCCCTTGCTTCACTCCTGTGTCCGTAAAAGTCTATTTCCCAGACATCAGCCAGAGTGAGCCTGTTACGAACGTGCGAGAGACTGTGGTGTTGCTCCTCGGAGCCCTCCAGTGCTTCCTGTCTGTCTTGCTCATGTCATAAGTCCCCCCAGTTGCCCCCTAGGCCCCTGGGGGCTGCCTCCCCAGAGCCTGTCTGACTTCAGTCTTCCTTCCCTCCCCCTCGCTCACTCCTTCCAGCCACACGGACCTCGCCACAGCTCCTTGTGCACCCCGTCCCTGCTCCTGCCTGCCTCTCTGCACTTGCGCTTCCTCCTGCTCCCATGTCTCCCCAGATGTCTGCATTTTTCTCTCTGTTCAGGTGGGTCCCTTCAGAGGGTCTGTTCCCGGCTGTAAGCAGCATGAGGTGGAGCCACCCTGTCCTCAGTCTTCCTCTAACCCCCCACCTGCCGTGTTTGTCTTTGTAGCACTCATCGCTATCTTGACTTGCTTGTTGTTTACAACTTCTTTTTAAATCTTTGTCCCCACTAAGCACTGTCACAGCAGAAAATTTATCTACCATGTTCATATCTGTGTGGCCACTGTTTGGAAGCATTCCTGGCACATAGTAGGTGCTTTTTTGGTGCACGAACTGCACCAAGGCCAGTGGAATAGGAGGGAAGTGGGCAAGGAGGCAGGGCTGGAGAGACTGGCAGGGCCATGGCCAGGAAGGGCTCCTTGGCCAAGCGGGATGTCTTTGTTTTGATCTTCAGAGCAAGGGGAGGTCGTGGCGTCATCTGATTTAAACGCTGAGAAGATCACTCGGTTTAAATGTGGAATAGATTGGAGAGTGGTAAGGGGGGATTCTGAGAACCTAAATGAGAGTAAGCGGAGTAGGAACAAAATTAGGAGGGAGATAAGGCTGTTTCAGGAGAGAGAGAGCCAGTAAGGGCTGAATGAATACAGCTTCTGGTCCAAGGACGGGGACAGGAAGCGCCACACTGGATTGAGTGACGTGAAAGCCGCTGGTAAGGCGACAAGAGGTGTTTTATATATTTATGCGCTTTACCTGGAGCGAGGGGGACAGAGGCAGATGGGAGTGTGCGGGGGATTTAACGGGAGATGAGGGAGCTGAGGAGCCAGCGTTGAGCCAGGTGGCTGTGAAAAGGAGCAGAGGGCAGGGGCTGCAGAGGGCCTGCTCCGGTGGGAATGGGAGGGGTGCGGTGGGGACAGGACGCTGGAAATTTAGAGCAGTAAGGGCTGGTGCATAACCTAACGACCCTGAAGAGGGTGGGATGGGAGCCTGTCCTGTTACAGTCACTGGGCAGCAGGTGGCTACTGTGCAGGCAAGTCAGTTCCTTCCCAGCCTCCTGATCTCTGAAGGACAAAGGGGGCATCTGTAAGAGTGACGTTGAAGCTCCCTGGGCTTGGTGACCCAAGTCATTCCTGAACTCTAATTTGGTTCTGTGAGAATTATTGCCGATGTCATTAAAGTAGGTGTGCCTGCTGATCATAGCGGCTCACGTGCATTTAGCACATTGCTTTGCTAGGTGATCTGCCTTTGACTTGTTTATGGGTTATCCTGAGCTGTTGCTAAAAGCTGTGTATTCTGTGCTTTCAGATCATTGCAGCTCATGTGATATTTTAGGTAGGAGTATCTGTATTGTCATGTACAATTATCAATAGAGTGGTTTCTTTGTCAACCAGATCGTATGCCATTTCTCAGCTCTTATCTGGCTCCTGATGAGGGGATCTTATCAACATCTTGCGTAACATAGAGAAACAGGAGCAATCCCTGGATGCCAATGCAGCACGAGACCCCTGAGCAGACCGTAATTGTCAGGTCGTAAATAGGACTTTCAAGAGCACGTTAGGAAGTTTTAGATAGTCTGTGTGCTGGAAACTGTGCCTTCCTCTTGAACGGGTTAATGCCTTCCCTGCTGGTAGCCTCACAGCCTTCTCTTCCACTTCATTTTAGGAAGAAAAAAAGAAACACCCCAGAGAATGCTGGGCTGTTCCCTTGGCTGCGTACACGGTGCTAATGAGGTGCCTTCGGGAAGGGGTAAGGCTCCTTTGTTGTCCTCTGTGCGCCCTCAATTGTAAAACCCTCCCGGCTGCGTGGGATTGTAGCCTGCAGCAGTGCGGAGCTTGTCAACCCGGCGTTGCTCCTGAATTTAAATCGTCCCGACAAGCCACCCGCAGCAGTGGCCGCCAGTGGAGCAGGCGCAGAAGCGAACCAGCTTGCTCACTCACTTTTTAAAAGGTGATAGCAAACATAAACAACACAGGCGGCTTTTAATAACACGTCCTTAGGCTCCC